TATATATATATAGAACAATATGTAACGATACGTGAATGAAATATTTAACGTTTATTTGAATATTGCTTTTACATTTAAAATATTTCAGGATATTTTGGAATATTCTTATAATGTTATTTTGGGATTTTGGAAACATTTTACGAATTTCAAGAATATTTAGCATTAACTGGAGCACGCGTGTAAGCAAAAATAATTCTAGAAGTATCGTCCTTCGATGCTACTAATCTTACGGAATCTCAAAATGTCTAAAATAAAACTTAAGAAATGATGAATTCTTTGAACAATTTTCCGTTTTTACTTCAAGAGATTTTTTTAATTTATCCGTTAAAAATACTCTAAGTTAAGATTTATTTGTTATGACGTCAGAAATATGTAAATATGCAAATAATTTCTACAACTCTGCATAATTTTTTATCAGAAACGAAATCCAGTTCGACAAAATGTATATATGTTTATATTAAACTGATACAAGGTTTTTATTTTAAATACTATATATGCACATAATGCGCAATTTATTTATCTTTTTTTTTCATACGCGCACTGCATACAATTTTACATTTTTTTAGAAGACGATTTAAATCTTTTCCGAATATGAAAAACGAACTACAATGGATGCGTTCAGAGAGACGCCTATTAACTTTTTGTGTTAAGCTATCCTTGTTTTATGTCTAGTGAGATCAATAAAGATAATACAAATAGCGCTAATAGCAAAATTCAAACGCACCTAAAATCAACTTCATTTCGCACAGACCTGTTATTGACCCACAGTTCATCGAGATTGATTTCATTTTTGAAAAATTGTGTAAATACAAGTATGATAATCTCACAGCTTTTCTCAGTTCTAACGTACGTCATGCTCGAAAGAGCTGACGTATTTTAGATTCTTAAAGAACTCACTCATGCGTGAGGATGATGTAGGAAGTACAAGCAGGAAATCAATATCTCTGTGAATGTGTGTGGAAAAGAGATAAATGATTTATCCATAATTGTGTATAATTTTCAAGACTAATAGCTCTTGTCTGGATAGCTCTTATATAG